TGAAGAATTTTAGAAGTCGGAGATTAAAAGTGTCAGTTCCAGATTAGTCTTATAAATATTTATGAAGGTAAGGACCACGTGGTAAATTATCGAGACTTAATATGGATAGATTATGAGAAGTAAGGGTTAAATGGTAATTTTGGACTTCATTGTAAAGAGTTTTGAAAGTTAGGGTTTATAAGGTAAACAAATAAGGGTGGAGGGGCTGAAGTTGAAAAATCATATCATATGTTTGAAATGAGATACGAGATATACCTGTATCCCTTCCCCACGCCATTTCATCTTCAACCCTAAGCAATGAAGCGGCCGCCAACCTTATCCCTCCACTCCTCCAGCCGCAATCATCTCGTTTTCCCTCTCGTTCACCGATCGAAGAAGTGTTAATCAACCGCCGCTTACATCTCAGGTCCGATTGCCGACTGCTACACTGCCGATGAAGGTCGCCTTGCGACGTCCGCTGCCAGAAGTGTCGGGGGCCGCTAGAGAACCATCGAGAACCAAAGACAAATCCGTTGCTTGTCGTGGGTGGGTTGTGAGCCACCAGAAACTCTCGGTTAGTCCTCTGCAAACCACCCTCTTCTCTCTCTTTCATTGTATTCTGTGTGTACGACGCCGGAAGCGTTATTGTCGATGTCGGTGGCCATGGGGCCGCTGTGTGCGACTTTCCGATAATATCAAACTCCTAATCAGCTATTAGGGGCTTGATCTCGAGTCATTTCGTGATGGTGGCTGCCACCGTCTTCTGCTGCCCATTTCCTCCACCAGCCAACGTAAGAGGTGGCTTTATGTGTGTTTATTGTTAATTGTGAAGAAGTATGTGTGTTTTTGAGCAGGAACCACCACCACCACCATTGGAAATCGTAGTTGCCACCGTAGTGCCGCTGCTGTTGCTATCGGACCTCCACACGTTGCCGTGAAGTGGGTGATCGTTTGCATTCCCGAGTAGGAGGCATATTTTGTGGATGTATTTCTTTTGTTAGAGTGTGTTTTGTTTAGCATAAATTTCCAAGATCAGCCACTGCCACCACCATGAGGTGGTGGCTGCCGCCAAGCACTGCTATTGGCCGCCATGATGTGTATGTGTGATTAGTTTAGTGTGTGTGTGTGTGTGGTTAATTGAGATTAGCTTTGTAAAATGTAACTTGAATTTTGGATTAATGAAAAGAATCAAAACCACCACCATAAGGTGGTAGCCGCCGCCGTAAGCCGCCATAGACCACCACTACCCGAGGTGGTAGTGGATGGTGCCCCACTAGCAAACCCTAATGGGCTTAGAGATTGATGTTGGGCCTATTGGACCATGTTTGGGTGGAAAACCCTAATTATGAGTATTTGGGCGTTGGACTTATTTGGACCCACTTTTGGACCATTTGGATTGGATTGTGAACTAAGCCCAAATTATTCAATGCCATTTATATAGTAGAGTAAATGAATTAATGGATCAAGTCCTTAATGGACTAATTGAGAAAAATCCTAATATTTGAGAATTTTTCAGGACGCAAACGAGACTTAATTAATAAGTGAAATATTAAATAACATCATTGGTAGAAATTAATCTAAGCAATAACGAATTTAATGGATTAAGTCCTTAACGGATTAAGTACTTAGTGGGATAAGCCCTTAATGGGTTAAGCGAGAAACACTTAACCCTAATTATCATTTTATGTGAAACCCTAATTTTACTTGGGCTTTGTGTTGGGCCATCCAAGAATAATTAAATGGACTAGAGTACTTAGTTGGGCTTTAGGGTTAGGCCCATATGAAGGATTGGGCCCAATTTGGAAAATTGGGCCATAGTTGGGGCCTAGATGGTTGTATGATGTTGGGCCCCTAGAATGAGACATGTTGGATTGGACTGGACAATTGGGCCTTAAGGGAAGTCCATGTAGAGGTTTGGGCCCAATTTGGAAAATTGGGCCATATGTTGGGCTTTGATCCCTAGTTGACTTTGGGCCTATGGATTGGGCCTTGGGATTGGGTAAGCCAAGCTAGGGGGTAATGTAGTAATTACCCAAAGTATGTATTTATAGTTATGAGTTAGAACCCAATTATTAATTGGGTGTTATCTTGGTGTTGACAGTTTGGGAATTTGTCATCAAGCAGCTAGAGGTTGAGTCTGCGGGACTTCAGCAATGTGGGATTTTGTCTATGGGACTTCAGCAGTGTGAGGTGAGTTTCCTTTCAGTAGGAACGGGTCTAAGGCCATAATGCCGGCCCGTTTAATTAGCAGTAGCTCCGGACTCCAGTCCGATGCAGTAGTTCATTATGCTTGATGTCTTTGTGATTCAAGCATGTTTTGTGTTATGTGTTCCGGACTCTGTTCTGATGCAGTATGCGCTATATGTATTCATGCTAGTTGATATGTTTATGATATGCTATGTTCAGTTAGTTCCGGACTTCGGTCCGATGCAAGGGACGGGGTCCCAGTCAGTTCCGGACTTCGGTCCGATGCAGTTACTTCCGGACTTTGGTCTGATGCAGGGGACGGGGTCCCAGTCAGTTCCGGACTTCAGTCCGATGCAGTTACTTCTGGACTTTGGTCCGATGCAGGGGACGGGGTCCCAGTCAGTACCGGACTTCGGTCTGATGCAGTTTTCGGACTTCGATACGATGCAGTGGGCAAGGCCCAGTATGTGTTTATATGTTATTGTATGGTATATGGTAGTTTGGGGGAGCTCACTAAGCTTCGTGCTTACAATTTCAGTTTTGGTTTCAGGTACTCAGTTTTCAAAAGAGGAGCTCGGGAAGATTGCAGTGCACACACCATTTGTTCAGCCTGGGATGTTTATACTCTTATATGTTTGACAGTTGTTATGATATTTTGATATACATTGTTTATGATTCTTATATGACGTTGATGAATATGGTTTTATTACTGATTTAAAACGAAATTTTCAGACTATATTTTTGGGATGTTACAGTTTTTGTGCCGAAGCTCTGCGTTTTTACCCCCGAAGCCTCGGTAATATTCCCGAGTCCCGAGATCCCGAAGATCCCGACAAGTGCGGTTTACGAGCCGAAGCTCTGCCCGCGAGAAGTTCGATTTTTGTGGAGATCTTCCAGATCTGCTGAGGATTACGACTTCTGCAAGCCGTAGTGCTGTCCGATCATCTTTTGATCAAGTGAGTGTATACTACCTTTCATAAACGCAATAATAATACAAGTATGGTTTGAGTGTATTAAGTTTATTGTCGTTTATACGTGTGAATGCGTTGTTACTTTCTCCTAACGTATAACTATGAAATATTTTATACGAGATACGTGTTATGTGTATATTTTGTTGTTATGTGTGTGAATGTATATTCACTTTCTTCTATCTTACAGATCTGATTATTTCTATATGAAATACGTGTTATGTATGTGTGCCTCATATGTTATATGGAAAATGTATTGATCAAGGATGCTATACAAGTTTTGAAAATATGTATAAAAATGTATGTTTTTATCTACTAATATGTTGGGTAGAACATGGGTAGATAATTGGTGTGTAATAAACAGATGAAAGGCCTCGTTGTTGTTTTGATCCAGTCATCTAGCGGAATTTAGATGACGACCACGGACTTTTCTAGATAGTCCAGTGGAACGCTAGCAGGCTCATAACCACAGACTTTTCTAGATATTCCATCCCCCTCATGGTTGCCTTATTTGACTTATATTGCTGAGGAAACCCCGCAGTATGTGTTGTCACCCTGATGAAAATATTCTTAGATTAGGTCCCTTGTGTTAGTTATTTTACGGACATAAAGTGAGAATAACAGGAATGGGTAACTGGGTTATTGTTGGTTGATAATAATTAATTTAATTATTTATTGTGGGTTGAAAACCCTATATGCTCACCAGGCTCCCAAGCCTGACCCACTCAGTTTTATTTGTATTACAGGAAGTGGCGCAAGGGTGTAAGATGGATGAACCATCAAGTTGTTTTGTTTACAAGTCTGTATATGTAAATATTTGTTGAATGACTTGTAATGTTATCATTTATGCTTGTTGGTCTATATCGGAACATGACACCCCGAGTTTTGATTATATAATGAAAAATACATTTCTTTTATGAAATGCTTTGGTAAACATTGTTTTATCATGTTTTGTTTTTTGGAACAAATTCCGCAACTCTTTCAAATCAAAAGGATTTACTCTGAATTTATTTTAAAAGCATAAATGAAAATCGGTCTTTTCTGGCCGAGATTTTGGGGATGTCACAATAACACTTGTCAATAGGAGAATAAACCTATTCTTTTATTAAAATAATGATTAAAAAAAATGTGTGATTATAATTTTTCGAGTTTTTTTATATTGTCGTGTTTGGTAAGCCAAAAAGTAGCTTATAAGTTAGCTTTTTAAGAGGTTTTTTAAAATTTTCCAAATACACTCCTTAATTAATTATAGAAACACTTAATCTTACATGTCTTTTTATGTAATTTTATATATTTTAGCTAGCTTTTCAACTAGTTTTACCAAACTTTATTTTTTATCAGCTACTTTTTCAACTATCAGCTAGCTTTTAATTTAACAGTTAGCTTTTCAGTTATCAATTAGTTTTTCAATTAACAACTAGCTTTTCAGCTATTACGCCAAATATATCCTAAGTGTTTTACAACGAGAGTTTAATTTCATATGTAAATCTGAATTTAATGATTTTGAATATAAAAAAAATAACATATGGCTATAAGTATTTTATTAAGATATTTAAAAAATCAATCATGTAACCAAAAGTATTCTATAATCACGTTTTATTTTTTATGTATATCTAAAAGTATAAATTGTAAGAATAAAAGAAAAATAAAAAAACGCCACTATAAGTGTTTTTTAAAAACATGATTTGGAGGGAGTTCAATTTTTTCGATTTGGATGGAGTTCAATTCACTTCTAAAAAATTCCAACTTCCCTCTTTACCAAAATTTAACATTTTTTTCCCTTACCCAAAAATTAAATATTTTTATGAAATTAAATATTCTTTTACTTTTGTTCCTACAAATACTTCTATCCAATTAAATGATTACATGTATCAGTTTATTATATTTAGAAGGCAGTTTCTGTGGGGAAATTCTGGAGACAAAAAGAAGATCCACTGGGTCGCATGGGATATTGTTACTGCTTCTAAAGAGGCTGGGGGTTTAGGCATGGGAACGATCAAATCTTTGAATATCTCCTTAATGGTTAAGTGGTGGAGGAGATTGAGGACTGAAGCATCAACAATTTGGACTGCGGTTATTAAGGGTATACATAATTTGAACTCAAAACCAGATGACTATTATGCTAATAATCGACTACCAGGTACTTGGAAAAATATTGTCGGGGTATGTAAAGAGCTGAGAAAAAAGAACATAGCATCTAAGGACATTTTATGTAAACAAACAAATTCTGCAGTTGAATCTTGGACATGTAGGCTAACTTCGGATGGCATCTTTGCTGTCAATGCGCTACGAAAAATGTGGGATAGGAGCTTACCTATTTCCGGGAGGAAATTCGAATGGATTCGTGAAATTCCAGTAAAGGTGGTTTGCTTTATATGGAGGGCATGACTGGGAAAAATTCCAACAAAGTTAGCACTAGTAAAACGTGGGGTATCTGTGGGAGATATAAAATGTAGTCTTTGTGATGAATGGGAGGAAGATTCGGATCATGTTTTGATTGGGTGTGAATATGCAACTGAAGTACTGAGCTGGATCTTTAAATGGTGCGGTGTGATGATGCCCCCAATAAGAACCGTGGTCGAGTTGCTGGATTTTGCCAACAATTGGTCGAATAATCAAAGCAAAAGGAGGTTGCTCTTGGGGATTTGTTATGATGTTCTTTGGGGTATTTGGAAACAAAGAAATGATAGAGTGTTTCATAATTTCAAGACGCCCCCAGCTAAATGTGCTGATATCATTCAGTCCACATTGTTCTTGTGGATGAAAAATAGGAAGGAAAACTCTAATATGGTGTGACATAATTGGTGTAGTAATCCATTTTCATGTTTGTAATCTGTTAGTTTAAATTCTTCTACTTGTACTCATTAGCTTTTAGTTACTTGCTAGATGTCTGTTTATCTATTTATTTTATTTGCCAATTCAAAAAAAAATTTAGATATCATTAAATGAATATTAAATATAACATTTATGGAATCATTTAATAACAATTAAGTAGAAAAATTTTTAGAAACAAAAAGTAAGAGAGGATGTAATTTCTCAATATTTTTATTTTCTTTCTATTTCTAAAATAGATCAGACATAATCTCCTCGCATCTCTCTCTCTTCTTTTATACCCTTCGTCCCCAACCCAACGATGCACACCCATACGAGATTACAATCTTGAGCAGCACCCTCGTCAGCAGCACCAACACTAACACCTCCACCCTACCACCGTAGTCTCCTTTCATAATTTTTGCTCGGATCGGGTTGGTATCCATTCGAGATTTTCGGCGGTTCATCGACTTACCCAGCTGGGCTTGGGAATCATCAAGGTCTTATTCATCATCAATCTGGTATCCTCTTCACGCTTTCGCCTTCACGTCCCCATCACGAAGAACATTGAATCCTCTTATTTCGCAGAAAGTTGCTGCAATCTCTGGTAAGTTTGTTGTTGTTCATGTCAATCCAAGTTTTTATTTCGATTGTAACCCTATTTTGTTGTTGCAATCAAAGATTTTGTTGAATATTCGTTGAATTGGTGCCTATCGAATATTTAACTTTTGATTTTTTTTTCTGAAAAAAGTAATGTCAGCTCTTGGATAAGGCACATATGATATCGATGGCTTTAAACCAAATAACTGTTCTTACAAACAAGTTAATATCAGTTGGTTTTACTTTGAAGGGGATAAATGTATTCATTTGTATTTCCTAGATATACTTTCTTGTGCTTGAGATTAACGGTTTGGTAATGCAGTTTGTGTAAGACTTCTAGTTTTCTTGAATATTCTTGTCAACAACTCAATAATCAGAACTTATATGTCTTTTCTTGTATCCAGTTCCCATACACTGGAGATATATTGGCAGATTACTACTGTGTCTCATGAGATTGGCATCTTCATGTATCATAATTTCTGACCTTTGGTTCTTGTATGCCAAGGCATTTGTTAATTGTTATTCACTCATGATGATTGCTAACATATAACCAATTTATTTTGTGCTTTTAATTTGTCAACTTTTTCATTTGCTCGAGTATTTGGAGAGTTGTAGGTGAGTTTTTTTTCGTAACGAGGGTGGAAAACAACTGATTTCTATGATATCAGTTTACAAACGATTTGGAAATCCCGATTCCAAAATCAAATCAAAATCAATCCTAAGGAACCGACCATCGATCTATGAAACAAAAACCAAAAATCATATGGGGTTTCTGAAACTACAATCAATTTCTTGATAACGTCGATTTCAAAAATCGCTAATGACTGTTTTTGTGGCTTTCCCTCAAACAGGGTGTCTATGACTTGTATTTTTTTTCTTGACTTGTAATTGAGGCTTACAGAGTGTACACACTTCAGGATGTAATCGACCAAGGAGGAGATGCAGGCATTTATGATAAGAGGGATGAAGGGTGGATGGTGGTGGCTGCATACAAGACCGAAGATGGGTAAAAGGCAGAAAAGAAGGAGGGTTATAGGTTGTTCTTCGATGTTGCTGGTAAATAGCAAGAATGAGAAGGATAAGGGGATTGTGGAGTAAATCTACAGTCGATGGTGGCTATAGTTTCGATAGTTTGGAGGTGATGCAGGTGGAATAATAGACGAAGTGAAGAAGAAGGGGGAAGAGTTGACGTCGTCGTGCATAGGCTTTTAGGGCATTCTTGAATAGTTTTTTTATTTTTAATTTATTAATAATATGAAAATAATAAAAGAATATTAGAAAATATTTATTAAGGGCAATTTAGTTTTTTTCATCTTAGATAGGGATCAAGTTGTTGGATTAGGTGTTTAAACCCATAAATATAATTAATATATACATAAATTGATAGTAACACAATCTTTTTGGGTTGCTTTTAAAACTAGCAACTAAACATAATGATTTTTAGAGAGAGCTTGAATTTATTATTTGAATAATAAATTAAGATAATTGATTTATTAATGTATTATGAAAATAATATATTAATTAAAAATTATATTATTTAATTAATAATTAATTTAATTTGAATTAATTTTAAAATTAATTGAATTATTTAAAAGTATAGAAGCTGTTTAGCAATTTATTGATAGTTGAGGAAAGAGGCCCTAGAACCTTCCTATAAAACTTCTTAGTTTCTTAAGATGAACCCTATTGGAAAGGTACATTTTTAAATATGTTTTCACTTTTCGGCAATAACATGTGTTTATTTCTTGTGTTTCTTTACATAATGCACTTATGATTGTTGAAGGTTCCTATTCTTGAGACTCCTCCTCATTGGTTAAAAAACCACTGATCGGTTAAAAAACCAGTGTTTGGTTATTATATATAGGAGCATACTTTCAAGATTTACTATTTTAACATTGCACTTCGAGAGATCTTACTAAGTGGTGAAAACATGTTGCTTGTTGCAGGTAAATATAGATATGCAAATAGAAATACAACGAAGACAAACACAAGTTCAGTAACAATTGAAGGGTTTTATGAGACAATTCGTATAATATGTCTATTATTGAAGTTGTTTATCAGAATAGCATACATGATGTTAATTGATCAATATTTAACACATAAATAATTTTAAGTTATTCAATAATAGTAATGATAAACCACAAAATGTGATTAAATGTCAATAATAGTCATCATTTAATCAATTATGTGTCATTAAAAGTCAATAATAGTTATGACGCACGAAATAATGTGTAACGTCTCAAAAATAATGACATAAAATTTTTGTTTTTAGATTAATAAATCGTTAATACATATTATTTCCAAAAAACCAGGGTAATCAAGAATTAACAAAACATCATCGAATCAGAGTAAATCACAGAATGAAGAAACATATGGTGTGTGCCCTGTAACCATCCTTTGCTCTTCCATTTGAAAATCAAAGCACCTGAAACATAAACTGAAACCGTAAGCACAAAGCTTAGCGAGTTCACCAAAATATCTCATACCACACATACATAAAATCATATAAGGGGTCTCGCCATTCATCGGACACTACTGTGCTTCGGGTCCCGTTCGGTAAACAAATTTGTCAGTCATCAGGCTTCGCCTGGCGTTGGACCCGCCCGATGTAAGCATATAAACATACAACACATGTTATAATCATAAAGATAAATAACATATAGACTAGCCTTCGGGCCCCAATCGACATTGGGTCGTACCCGGTAATCATAAAGCACATACATAAAACTAAAATACAATATACTCATCAGGCACTGTCTGGCATTGGGCCCCGCCCAGTAAACGTAAAACCAAGGTTGTAAAAATCGTTCGGTGGTAATTCGGCGGTCGACTGACGATAAACGATTAATCAGACTCGACGGGGATCAATCGGCAATTAATGGGAGACACTAAATAATTAATAAAATTAATATTTCCTAAAAAATTAAGTATTTGGAAATTTTAAATTTTAAAATTTTGAAAATTTAAAAATTTATTATAATATTTTAAAATTTGAAAGCTTAAAATTTTAGTGTAATATTTTAATTTTTTTTTTCAAAATTCTAATTATTTCCTGTCTATGACTGCCAAGCTCGAGTTTGACTAATTTTTTCAAAATTCTAATTATTTCCTATCTATGTCTACAACACTGTGTAAAACACATAACGCATGCAAGAGTCACGTAGACAACAAGCATACTAAGCATAAAAAATCATGGGTCGGCATTGGTGTTGGTGGTTGTTGAGCCAACAAAATAAATACCTTAAATATTACACACTAAAATAGTGTATACTGGTAAAGGGATCGTATCCACGGAGATTGATTCAATTTTATAACTCTATGATAATCTTGTTGTACAAACACTTGTAAAACTAAAATAAAATAAAATTGGGGGATTTTGATCTTTTGAGATGCTTAAAAAAAACTAGAATTACACTAAGATTTAAAAACACAATTCAACAAAAGAAAAGTTTGATGTAAAAATAAGAGAAAGGTGGTTGACTTTGGATTTTCATCACTTGAACACTTGGTTAAATAATCATGAGAATACCAAGGTGCATACTTGTGTTTATAATCTAACTTGGGTATAGCAATTTATAAGCATAACTTGCCTCAACTTTTCTTTTGTATTAAAATGACTAGAGAAGCTCATAACACATTTCCTAAATCAAAATCACAAAACTAATGAAGCATGTAATTTTGTGAAAATTAATTAGCATTAGGTTTTAAGAATCACCAAATCCAAAGAGTAATCTATTGCTTTTATTACCACTACGGAGAAAATATTTTCTTAGTCTAAATGAAATGAGAACAAACATTTAAACTAATTGTTGCTTGTTAAATTGAAGACCTATTAGTTTAGTAGACCCTCTATCCGACCCCCTATCAAGTAAAGAGATCTAGGTTGTATGACTTCCTGTCGGTCTTTGAATCTTTCCTAGCATTCTATCATGCAAAAAATGAGAAGATCCTTACCCCTAACTTGCATGCAATCCACAAATTCATAAATCAAATCATACCAAATAGCATGTATGGTTATTTTGGGAGAAACTTACTTGAGTTCGGCTGATTGCATGCACCACACCCTTTCTTATCTTAAAAAACTTTGTTCTTAAAAATACTTTTCTTTTTGAAAACTTTAACAAATCCTTAGTTTGAGTTCAGACACACCCGAGAGTATGTCTAAATCCCTCAAACCAAGGCTTTGATACCAACTTGTAACGTCCCAAAAATAATGACATGAATTTTTGTTTTTAGATTTATTAATCGTTAAAACATATTGCATAAAACCAAGGTAATCAAGATGTAACAAGACATCATCGAATCAGAGTAAATCATAGAATACAGAAACATGTGGTGTGTGCCCTACAACCATCCCGAACTCTTCCATTTGAAAACCAAAGCACCTAAAACATAAACTGAAACCATAAGCACAATGCTTAGTGAGTTCCCTAAGATACCTTATACCGCACATACATAAAATGACATAATGGGCCCCACTCGACATCGAGTCTTGCTCGGTAAACATATATGTCAGTCATCAGGCCTCGCCTGGTATAAACATATAAATATATAAACATAATCCACATGATATAATCACAGAGATAAATACCATACAAACTAGCCTTCGGGTCCCGCTTGACGTCGGGTTGTACCCGCTAATCATAAAGCAAATACAAATAACTAAAATACAATATACTCATCAGGCCCTGCCTAGCATCCGGCCCCGCCCGGTAAACATAAAACACATAACATATGCAAGAGTCACGTCGATAAAAAGCATACTAAGCATAACAAATCATGGGCCGACATCGGTGCCTTCGACCCACTAAACATAGTGAGGAGACTCACCTTGCACAGACAAAACACACAGAAAATCCATGGCTGCTGGATGATAGATCCCCGAACTATCAATATCAAAATAGCACCCAATCAACATTTGGGTCCCAATCCATAACCATATCCAACAGTCCATTCTTTGGGAAAAAAAGACCATTTACCCCTCACCTAGTTTGGTCCAAGACTAATGCCCAAACTCAAAATTTATGAAGTCCCAAAATCAAATAATCACTCTAGGCCCATACTTGGCCCAATTTTCCAAATTTGGCCAAAACATAGCCTAACATAAACCATGGTCACGTTGATCAAACTTCTGGTCAAAGTCAAAGTCAACAACCCATGACGACCAAACATGCCGTGTTGCCCCTTGGACACGCCATGTTCTTCCCTCATCCAGATAGTCGGGAAATCCCTAGCCAACATGCCGTGTTGGCTTGCAAACACACTGTGTTTGCTTGAGATTCAACAACTTAATACAATAAGCTACTCTCTCTGATTCCAAGAGCTCCAAAGCTCAGATCTAGACCAAGATGAGACTTAGAAGGGTAAAGTTTCCATATTTTCCCATACAGATTACCAAAAGGGGTCCAAACCCAATAAAAAAGGCTTGAGAGTGCAAGGGCTTAACCAAGAAGCACTTAATCCTTGAAGATATAGCCACAAAACATAGGTCTAACTTCCTTGAGATGGAAACCACGTAAAGTTGCTAACTTTATGTTCATGCGTGTGTAAATGAAGCTCTTAAGCTTAAAAGGGACTTAATAATTGACTTAATGCATGCATGACACCAAAAATCTCATAAAGGTTGCACCTTTATGCTCAAGGAGCCCAAAAAAAAATCAGATCTGGAATAACAAGCCCTTAAACGACTTCACCCTCTCATCAACCCAAAAAGGGACCAAAAGCACAACAAAGCACAAAATTAAGAGATATAAACATCTATAACTCAAGGTTCAAACTTAATACCTTAGAATGCTTGCACAAAAGAAGATGATTTTGGATCCTAAGACAATCCACTAAGCAAGACAATTTCAAGCTATCCTTTTCCTTCATAAAAGCCAAAAATGAGCACCAAGAACTTCTTACTAGCTTAGGAAAGCCATCAAGAGACTTAGGGATCGATTTTAGGGTTTTAATGTCAATAGAGACTGGTAAGCAGACCAACCCTTGGGGCTTACATAGATTATATAGGGTGCAACATCCTAAGAATTAGGGTTTCCTTCCTAGCTTCCAACACGCAGTGTTTAGACACCAACACACCGTGTTGACCTTAATGAGAACCTTGCTTTTCCTTAACTAGACACGCTGTGTTGGTTCCTCCAACAAGTTGTGTCCAATCCTCAAAATGGGATTCATTCCTTATAATTGCTCCTCAAGATTCCGGGCGTTACAAAATGTGTGACCAAAAGTAGTTTTTGTTCAAAATTAATATATTATGTGTCATTAAAAGTCAATATATCATGACAAACGAAAGAATATGCGACAAATAGTAATTTATAGTCATTGTTTTAATAAATATGTGCCACTAAAAGACAATAATAGTCATGAAAAACGAATAAAACGTGTGACTAAAACTAGTTTATGATCATAGTTTAATATATTACGTGTCACTAAAAATCAACAATATCCATGATAATTTGAAAAAAAAACATATGACTAATACTAGTTTATGGTCATGTTTTAATATATTACATATCACTAAAAGTCAACAAAAGTCATGAATACAAA